AAATGCTGGACTTTTGCATAATACACATATGTCTGAAAGAATAAAGAAAATGAGTTGCCACAAACCTCTCCTGAATGGTGTTGTAAATCTCTTTAAATAACATTCAGCCCTCAATCACCCACCTGTATTGTTGTATAATATGATGGTTCCAAGAGAGTTAACATTGAAGCTGCAATAAGCTTCACTGAACCCTTTGATGTCGCACAGTCTTTGTGCGAAGAAGAGGGAGTCTAGCACGAGGTCCTGATGAAAACACACATTTCTTGATCCTAATAGTTTCTGCAATTAAGCCTAGCCTATCAATGAAACTTTTACCTATTGCTGAATAAGAACCAAAAGAACTGCAGATGCTGTAAATAAGGAACAAAAACAGAAGTTGCTGGAAAAGCTCAGCAGGTCTGGCAGCACCTGTGAAGGAAAAAATCAGAGTTAGCGTTTCGGGTCCAGTGACCCTTTCTCAAAACTTTGTTTGAGGTGTCCCTGCAAGCCAATCAGTTCAAGGGCAATTGGTTGCCAAAGGCAACTCTGTTCTGAGGAAGGGTCACCTGACCCAAAAATGCTAACTCTGAATTTTTCTTCACAGATGCTGCCAGACCTGCTGAGTTTTTCCAGCAATTTCTGTTTTTGTTGTCTTGCACATTGGGAGCAGCGTCGTGGGAATAGGATGCTGTGAGCTGATTTTTCACTTAACCCTCTATTCCCCCAAGTCATGGGAAATACAGAAATAACTTTTCTCCTGATGACTGGATCATTTTTAATGTGAAAGTTTCCCTCCACCCCCAACTTTCCCCCTCCTCCCCCGAAACGTTAACTCTGATTTTTCTTCACAGATGCTGCCAGACCTGTTGAGCTTTTCCAGCAACTTCTGTTTTTGTTCCTTTTTTTTAAACCTATTGCTATCACACAATAAACTACATCTTATATAAGACAAGGTCCTCATCTCATGAAGACTCAGTAGTGGTTTATCCTGAATTACTATGAGTTAACCAGTCCCTTAGACTCAGCAAAGAGAGGAGGATTGACTTTAGGGCCTGGTGGGCACCACAGGGGCTGGGATGCACTATCCTCTGGATAATGATATTTTGGTTTGACTGGATGAGTTTCTGTTCCAGTGCTGTAAGTTTCTATTAACCATTTGATTCTGTCACAATGCCCTACCAAGGGTTGTCCAACCTTGTTGCTTATTTAACTATCCAATCGTCACCTCAGATGACAATGCTTTGATTTAATTTTGTTAAGTTTCTGGTGCAGTTCTGTAATTTTGTGTTGACACTTTGATTTAGTTCCACTGCAGTGCCCCACTGGGAGCTGTCCAATCTGTTTACGTTTTGTTTTGGAAGAGGGGAGCCCTGTCTTCTAACTACAAGCCACTAAGGGTTGGTACTGCAACATCTGACATGCATCTCCATATGGTTAATGGACAGGTTGAAGTAACAAAAATGGGATGGTGAATTGGCAGGAAACGAGTATAGAGGGCTCTATCCATATTAATTAACACCTATTTAAATTTGCAATTTCACTACATCAGCCTTGCAAATCTGCTTTCCTTGGAAACGCTGGAAGCTAAGGGAAAGCAAGGAGGAAATTGCACTTCTCTGGACCCTTTCAAAACCTTGTATCATCTAAGAGAAAATGATCAGTACTTTTGACGTTTAGTTACTGTGGAAAAGTGGGAGATGATAAGCTCAGTTGGTGAATGGTTAGAATGTGATACAGAATAATTCTGTATAGCACAGATTTAATTCCCTGTACAGAATACAACAACGTGATAAATCAAAGAAATGCAGGTGTTGAAGATCTGAAACAAAAACAGAAATTTCTGGAAACTTAGCAGGCCCGGCAGCATCTGTGGAGAGAAAGCAGAGTTAACGTTTTGGATCCAGTGACCTTTCTTCAGAAGATCTCTCCACGGATGCTGCCAGAGCTTTCTCCAAAAATTTCTGCTTTTATCACGTACAAACAGTTGTCACTCCACTTTCAGATGTAATCAAAGTGTTGTGAGGCAAGTAATATCAGCTCCATTCAAACTCGTTTTTATTGGAACAAGTCTGCAGATCTGAACTTTTTATAATTGATTCTTTACAGATAATAGTTTAGATAATGTCTAAGAAAATACTTAATGGACTGTTCATGGGATCTTTCTACGCATGATGTCCCTGTCAGCTGATAATGTGGTATTTATTTATAATTATTTCAATGTGAAGACAGCCAGAACAGCAACTTCAAACCATGATTTGTTTTTCTAACTTCTGAAACGGTTCACTCAAACATAAAAGATGTTTAAATTTTTTTTTTCTCACTCCTAAGGAAGGTTTCTCCCAGTGATAACATCATGGAAAGGTTTACTTTTTCTTTAACAGGCTAGTTTAACATAATCAATATGGAATCAAACCTAACACTGGAATGTAAGCACAGAACCTAGCTGGATGCTCAGAGCAGCACTGGGGGATCATCATATTGTTGAATGAAACTGTTTTAGCATAGGAACAAGAGAAAGCAATTTCACCCCTTGATCATGTTCTGCATTTCAATGAGATCCTGACTGAACAATGACTTATCTCCATTTCCCTAAATGCATTTGATTAACAAACAAAAACACAGATCTAAAATTGATGACAACAATCTTGCAGCAAATGCTAGAAGAAAGTTTCAAATATTTGCCATTCTAATATTTGCAGTGCACGAGTGCTGTCTCCAATAAGACAGAATCTAATAACCATCATCCCTTGACATTCAATGGTGTTACCATTACTGAGTCCCTCACTGTCAACATACTGAAGATTTTCATTGGCCAGTGACTGAAGTGGACGAGCTACATAAATACTGCGGCTACTAGAGCAGATCAGAGGCTGGCAATTCTGCAGCAACTAATTCACCCTGTCTCTCCAAAGGTTTCTCCACCATCTAGAAGGCACAAGTCAGGAGTATGATGAAATCCTTGATGAGTGCAACTTCAAAGAACCCTAACACCAGGACAAAGCAACCCAGTTGTTCAGCACTCCACCTTACATTTTCTGCCTTCACCCTGATGCCCAGTGGCAGCTGTGCACACCATCCCGAGATGCACTAAAACAACTCGCCAAAGTCTCCTTCACAGCACCTTCCAAGCTTGCAACCTCTACTGGCTAGGAGGACAAGGGCAGAGGTACATGCAAACATCACCACCTTCCCTTCCATGCCACACACTATCCTCTCTAAGAAATATATTGGAACTCTTCAGTGGGTCGAAACCCTGGAACTGCCTTCCTAAAAGCACTGTCGATGCACTGCCACCCCATGATTCGCAGTGGAGGGAGGAAGTGGCTCACCAGCACCTTTTCAAGGGTAATTAGGAATGAGCATTAAATGCTGGTCTTGTCAGCAAAGTCTACATCCCTCGAATGAATAAAAGAATTTCTATCAACTTTTGCATGTAAAAGTGTTTCTCAATTTCATTCCTGAAAGATTTTTTAAAAAAAAAAATTTTTACACTATGCCCACAATCTCAGACTCCCCAACCATTGACAATAGTTCTTTCTTGCTCTGTCTGTCCTCTTCCTAAGGTCTTGAAAATTTCAATTAAAACATCCCTTAACTTTCTAAATTCAAAGGAATGAAAGTCGGAGATAAACTAGGGCCCTCAAGTATAAACTAAAGCATTTCTTATTCTCAGCTATAAAAAGATTAACGAAAACCTCAAATTAACAATTAATTCTGCATTAAGTCCTAGTAAACTATTTCTTGCATCCAGTAACAACTCACATTTACATTGCATAGAGATAGTAGGAACTGCAGATGCTGGAGAAGAAGGGTCTGAAGAAGGGTCTAGGCCCGAAACGTCAGCCTTCCTGCTCCTCTGATGCTGCTTGGCCTGCTGTGTTCATCCAGCTCTACACCTTGTTATCTCTTTTTACATTGCATAGTACCATTTTAACTAGTAAAGCATCCCAAGGTCTCTTATCAAACAAAATCTGACACTGAACCACATAAATCGATGCAAGGACATATGATCAAAGAGGTTAGTTTTAAAGGAACATCTTGAAAGATAGAGTTACACAGGGAGATTTACAGAAGGAATTACATAACTTAGGGCCCAAGTAACAGAGAATACAGGCACTAATCGTGGAGTGAAAATTGGGAGTTCTCAAAAGATCGAATTAATGGAATGCAGTATCCTTGGATCAACGTGGTACCAGACTGGGAATCAGTGTAGGTCAATGTGCACAGTGCTAATGAATAAATGGGCATTGGAGTGATTGGCAAACAACCAGGAGAGTTTTATGGCAACATTGTTCTACAAACCACTCCTGCTTTTTTCTCCCCCCACCCCCCCGCCAAAAGTACAGACCATCTGGGAGAAAAACAAGGTTTAAGAGTTCCATAGACAGTGCTAACAATTATTTCTGAACAAAGATAACTTGTAGGCATGACTGCAGATCTAATTAGTATTGGTTACATTTTGCTCAAAGCTCTGATGGGAGTTATTTTGAACCTGTGCTTCAAGACAAGCCTTCATAAGCTTGCATAATGTTCAGTCCGATCAACCCGATCTAACAGGAAACAGATAGAACTAGCCCTTCGGGTTGCATCTCCAACCTTTTGTCAGTGCATTCCAAGCCAAATCAGCAGGAAGTGAAATCTCCCCTCTGGCTCTTCCACCAGTTAATTCAGACGCTGGATGGTTTATTAACAACTGCCCGCACTGGTCCTGCCTGGTTCAGTTTATATGGGGCTGCTCGGGGAGCTGTGGAGCGTTATCTGGACCACATGATATGCGTCCTTGTGAGAAAGTGGGCTCTGTGTACGTTGGGGGTAATCTGCTGGGTCCGGTTTACTTTCCAGTGTATAGTTTATGGTGTGAGTACTGAGAATAATTAAGCAAATAAAAACCGTGCCTGGGATTAGTTAGTCAGTGTGCTGTTTTTAATGTGCCCGCTGGGAAGAGAGTGTGCTTGTTGTGCTGGCTTTTTTTTTGAAAGGACAGCTGGATTCAGTCATGTGCCTGGACTAGTTATTACGAACACACAGACAGTGTGGGCCGGCAGCCTGAGTGTTTGCATGGATCCGGTGAGACAGAGTGGAGCTGCCATCTGTGGGCTGCTGGAGCGCCGGGATGTTCTGCTGGTTTAGACTCAGTGCCTCCTTCATCGAAGCAGTGTCTCCGGAATGAAGACCCTCAGGCAGGCTGCAGCGGAGACTCTGAGCCGGTTAGGTGAGCCCTCACTGAGCCCATGGTTATTCCTGCTCGATGTCTGTCTGCCCCGCATTCTCATCTCAATTATGTACACACACTCAGAGACCGCATCTTCGCCAGGCACAGTCTCTCCCGGCTTTGGATAGGCTGCCGATCACTGTTAACCCCTTCCAGGTCAAGGACAGAGGGTTCATGTCCTACTCTCCGTGAGGGAGGAGGAAACGGCTGCGGCTTTTCCTCCAGACCCGGGGATCGTTGCAGAAAAGATCAAGGCACTTGCAACCCCGAAACCCAGTGCAGAGATTACTGCATGATCTTGAGCAGATCCCAATCTGCAGTGCCTTGGTGTGGGATGTTTTGTGTGTGTTTATATATGCATATTTTTATCGGTATAATCTTGTCTGTGTATGTATGTGAATGTGTGTCTGTGTTGCTATGTGTATCTGTGTGTTTCTACGTATTTTTAGTATGCAGGTGTGTGTATCTGCATGCGTAGATGTGTTTCTATGTGGATGTGTATCTGCATGTGTGGGTATGAATCTGTGTGTTTCAATATATGTATGTATATCTGTGTGTGTTGATGTGTAAATGGATGTATATCTGTGTGTGGATGTGCATATGTGTTTCTGTGTAAGTGTGTGTGTATATTTGGAAGTGTATCATTGTGTGGATATGTATCAATTTCTCTGTCTGGGTGCAGGCATGGATGTGTTTCTGTGTGTGTGGGTGTGTTTCTATGCATGTGGATATGTGTCCGTGTTTGCATATGTGTCTCTGTTTAGGTGTGTTTCTGTATGTATCTGTCACTGTGTATGGATGCATGGATGGATGTGCGTGTGTGTGTATATGTGTGTGTTTTGGATGCATATCTGTGTGTGCGTGCAGGGCTGTGTCTCTGTGCTGGTGTGTCTGTGTTGCTGTGTATCTGACTCCAGACCCACAGCAAAATGGCTGATACTTAACTGCATCTGAAATGATCCAGGAAGCCGCTCGATCAGATCAAACCCACTGCCATTAGTTCCTGAAGGCGCTGACTCACCAGCACCTTCTCGGGGCAACTGGGGACGAGGAGCTGTAAATAGAATCCCTGGCTGCGATGATCACCCTGCAATGAGTCACCTGCCATGGTTCCACATCTCCAACTGCCATTACCTGAATCATAGAATCATAGGATCCCTACAGTGTGGAAACAGGCCCTTCGACCCAGCAAGTCCACACTGACACTCAGAGCATCCCACCTAGACCCATCCCCCTAATCTACACATCCCTGAACAATATGTGGCAATTTCCCATGGCCAATCCACCTAGCCTGCACAACGTTGGACTGTGGGAGGAAACCGGAGCACCCGGAGGAAACCCACACAGACACGGGGAGAATGTGCAAACTCCACACAGACAGTTGCCCGAGGCTGGAATTGAACCCGGGTCCCTGGCGCTGTAAGGCAGCACGGCTAACCACTGAAGTTTTGACATTTTAAAAATTGCAGCCTTGGGTTTTTGCGGGGAGTGAGTTCCAGATTTCTAGTCCCCATTGTGTGGGGAAGTGCTTCCTGATATCGCCTGTGAATGGCCTGGTTCTAATTTGAAGCCTCTGCCCCTCTTGTTCTGGACTCCCATCTCCAGAGGAAACGGCTTGTCTCCGCCTGCCCCATTTTACACCTAAATTCGATCACCCCTTTCATCTTTTTCATTTCAGCACTAGTTTTATTCGACTTCTCCTCATTATTTTTACTATTTTAGCCCCAGGATCATTCTGATCCAACTCTACTCCCTTCAAAGCCAATATGTCCTCCCTGAGTTGCGGAACCAAGTCCTGTCATCCTCCACTGTGCCATAATCTGCTAGGCCGCAGGCCCCAACTGTGAATGAATTGATCCTTGTGGGGTCCGTGTGGGCCTATTCAAAGGGGGATTTTGAGCCCTTGAGGCTGTAGAAACTAAATGAAATGCAGGATTAGGCCATTCAGCCCATCAAGCCTTCTCCATCATTTGATAAGATCATGGCTTATTTGACTGGCCTTAAATTCCTGCTAACACCGACAACCCCTGATTCCCATATCGATCAAAAGGCTGTCTATCTCAGCCTTGAATAAACTCAATGACCCAGAGCTTCCACTGCTCTCAATTGAAGAGAATTCCAAGGACTAAGGATCCTCTGAGAAGAGATTCTTCCTCATCTCCCTTTGAAATGGGAAACCCTTAAACTGTGCCCACAGTTCTAGAGCCCCCACATGATGGCAAACATCCTCTAAGCATCTGGTGCTTCGCAGGGCGGCTACCTGGATCCCCTTGGGGTGGGGGAATGAAGGGCCAGGAGAAGCAAGAAAATCCTATCTTTGAGTGATGTTGGAGAAGCCTTGTAGTGAATCTGCCTTCCAACTTGCTGAGCCTTTGCGGGCCATTGTACCTCGGTCAGGGTTTCGCTTATAGACGCTGGTCTTTCCATGTCCTGGGCCATGTGACCCATCACAAGCAAAATATGGTCACTTTCTCAGAGTTTGAAGGGGGACCTGGGATTGAAAATGACCTGCAGCAGGATGAAGAAGAAGATTGCCATGGAAACTATAAGGGTTGCCATGGCAAGTACTCCTTCTCACAGGATAAATGTGTTCTTACTTCACACTTTTAAAGGGGTTGCTCATTGGGTCTTGTGACGGGAATGAGAAGACATCAATGTAGCTTGATTAAAGACCAAGAGAGCTGAATTAAAGGTAGGGGCTGTGGGTATCCCTTTCAATATTAGGCAGGAGTTGGAGTGTAATGCAGAAGCTTTTCTGTTCTCACATACCATCAGCTCCTACCCCACTTAAAGCATTTACAGATATCACACCAAGATGGAGACTGCTGATCACTGCTGGAGAAAGGGGGAAAAGGCTTAGGGAAGTTCAACATCCAGAGTCAGGAAGAGTGAAGGGTTCAGACTGTACCTCCCTGAAGAGCAGACCATGAGACGCAGAGACCATTCGACCCATTGAGCCTGCTCCATCATTTAATGAAATCATAGCTGATCTGGTAATTGTGAATTCCCTTTACCCCAATAATCCTTGACACCCTTACAGAACAAAAATTTGTCTTGCTCAACTGTGACAGCCCTCTGCAGTGAAAAATTCCACAGATTCACTATGACAAGAGAAGAAATTCCTCCTAATCTGTCTTAAATGGGTGACCCCTTACTCTGAGACCATGTCCCCTGGTCCAATGCTAATGTACTATCTCCAACACAGTGGGCTGTTAATAAATAGTCTCACATGTTGTACCTTAAACACCTGAAAATGCAAATACATCACATCCACTATTTCTCCTTTATTGATCCTGCTTGTCACCTCCTCAAAGAATTCTAATAAATTTGACAGGTATGATTTTCCCTTCATGAAGTCATGCTGACTCTGCTCAATCATGTTGTGTCTTTCTAAATCCCCTGTTATTACTTGTTTTATAACAAGCTGTAATATTTTCCCAATAACTGGTTTATAGGAGGTTAAAGACAATCTGATCGAAGTCTTCAAGTTATTAACAGGAAAAACACAAGGTAGATAAAGATAAACAATTTCCACTGGTTGGGGATTCTAGAACTAGGGGACAGAGTCTGAGAATTAGGGTTTGACAATTCAGTAGAGACGTTAGGATGCACTTCCACCCACAAAGAGTAGGAGAGGTTTGGAACTCTCTTCTGCAAACAGCAGTAGATGTGTGATTAGTTGTTAATTTTAAATCTGAGATAGATAAATCCTTGTTAAACAAAAATATTAAGGGATATGAGCTGAAGGAAGGTATATGGAGTTAGGCCACAGATCAGGCATGATCTTAGTGAATGGTAGAACATGGTCAAGGAGATGAATAGCCCACTCCTGTTCCTATAGTTACCTATTTCTTGTCTCTTCTCCTTCCTATTAACATAATTGAAATTTTTGAAGAAGTAACGAAGAGGATTGGTGAAGGCAGAGTGATGGGCGTGATCTATATAGACTTCAGTGAGGCATTCGATAATGTTCCTCATGGTAGACTAGTTAGCAAGGTTAGATCACATAGTATACAGGGAGAACTAGCCATTTGGATACAGAACTGGCTTGAAGGAAGATGACAGAGGGTGGTGGTGGGGAGTTACTTTTCAGACTGGAGGCCTGTGGCAGCTGTGTGTCACAAGGATCAGTGCTGGGTCCACTGCTTTTTGTCATTTATATATGTGATTTAGATGTGAACATAGGCGGTATGGTTAGTGAGTTTGCAGATGACATCAAAATTGGTGTTGTAGTGGATAGTGAAGAAGGTTACTTCAGAGTACAATGAGATCTTGATCAGATGGGCCAATGGGCTGAGGACTGGCAGATAGTGTTTAATTTAGATAAATGTGAGGTGCTGCATTTTGGAAAGGCATATCAGAGCAGGACTTATACACTTAATGGTAAAGTCCTGGGCAGTGTTGCTGAACAAAGAGACTTTGGAGTGCAAGTTCATAGTTCATTGAAAGTCAAGTCGCAGGTAGGCAGGATAGTGAAGGTGGCATTTGATACGGTTGCTTTTATTGGTCAGTGCATTGACTATAGGAGTTGGGAGGTCATGTTGCAGTTGTACAGGACATTGGTTAGACCATTTTTGGAATACTGCATTCTATTGTGGTCTCCCTGCTTTAGGAAGGATGTCATGAAATTTGAAAGGGTTCAGAAAAGATTTACAAGGATGTTGCCAGGGTTGGAGGGTTTGAGCTATAGGGAGAGGCTGAATAGGCTGGGTCTATTTTCCCTGGAGTATCGGACCCTGATGGGTGACCTTATAGCAGTATATAAAATCATGAGGGGGCATAGATAGGATGAATAGCCAAGGTCTTTTTCCTAGGGTAGAAGAGTCCAAAACTAGAGGACATAGGTTTAAGGTGAGAAGGGAAAGATTTAAAAGGGACCTGAAGGGCATAGGGTGGTGCATTTATGGAATGAGCTGCCAGAGGAAGTGGTGGAGGCTGGTACAATTACAACATTTAAAAGGCATCTGGATGGGTATGTGAATAGGAAGGGTTTAGAGGGATATGGGTCAATTGTTGGCAAATGGGACTAGATTAATTTAGGATATCTGGTCAACATTGACAAGTTAGACTGAAGTGTCTGTTTTCATGCTGTACAACTCGATGACCCTGTGAATAAAAGGTGTTACATTGGCAGTTTCGTAATCCTCTGGGACTTTTTCTATGTTTTTTTATACAGCCTGTTCCACTCTGGGTGTTGCTATCCAAATAGCTGCCCTCTAATGTTGCAATATGCTTTTGTTTTGTAGGCCTACATTTCCCCTCTCCCAAACCCTTCCCCCTCTATAGCCTCAGACTAGACAGGACACTGGTGCCAGCACAGTTTAAGTGAGGTCCATTCCAGCAGAACAGCTCCCTTCTACCCCAGTACAGGTGCCAGTGCCCCATGAACTGAAACCCACTCCACACACACCAATCTTTAAACCACCCATGTTCACTTCTCGACTTTATTTACCTTCACCCAGTCTGCCTGTGGTTCAGACAGTAATCCAGAGAATATCACTAAAAAGGTTCTGCCTTCTAATTTAGCTCCTAGCTGTTCAAAACCTTTCAGCAGAACCTCCTTTCCAGTCCTATCAATGTCGCTGGTACCAACATGGTTGACAATAACTAGGTCCCTCCCCTCCCCTCCCAGTCCAACTTCTTCTGCAGGGCTGGAGAAGATGCCCTTAACCTGGCACTGAGCAGGCATCACACCCTTCGAGACTCCTGCTCACGGCTGCAGGGATCAGTGTCTATCCCCTAAAATTATTCTGTCCCCTGCCCCCACCACGTTCTTCCTCCCACTGAATGGCACCCTGTACCAAGCTACTGTGGCCAGTTTACTCAACTCTCTGCAGTCTCTACTCTCATCCATACAGCTTGCCTCGTAAATGTTGGACAACTGCAGGGGTCAAGGCTCCTCAGTTGCAACCCCAATCCCTGTCCTCATACCTGCCTTATCCTCTTGACCTGAATTGCAGAGCAGCTTTGAATGACCTAGCCTGAGGGCTGTCTGACTGCCCTCAAGATCAAAGTGTCCAGGTAACTTCCCGCTTCCCTGATCCGGCGCAACGTCTGCAGCTCCGAATAGACCTCCCCACTTCGGATCTGAAGCTGCTCGATCTGCAAATGCTTGGGTTCAGATGTGCTCGCTCCAGGACACATTGGTGTCCAGCTGCATCCACGTGCTATAGCCGCAACGCATCACCCATCCTACCTTCACCATTGTGTCTCATTTAATTCATGAATTAATTATTTTAGATTTGCTACATTTTACACTTTAATATTTTTTGTTTTTATAAAATAAGAAAAATCACCAGCATCAATTTGACACTTAGGTGGCTCTGAGAAGGAAAGAGAGATGAGAAGAAGAAAACCACTAGGGGCCTAAACACAAACTGAAGACCTTACTTTTACTCACCGATCCTACTCTGCTATTAGCTCCTTCCCTTGTTCTCACCTGGTGCTGTGGATTGGGACATCTCTCTGCTGCTGGTCTCACTGTAGGTCGGCCTCTCAGCCCACAACTTTATCCTCTCCCACTTACCTCTTGATCTGAAGAGTTCGCTCCTTGCAGTAAAGCCTTAGCTAAAGCACCACTGCCCCATTTTGTAGCGAATTCCCAAAGTGAACCAAATTTCCAACAGGTTAGTCACTTACCCAGCTTTCATCTCACTCCTGCGCCCTGACTGTGCCCCTTATTCACCAAGTTCTTCAGAACATTCACTTTGCTATTTATTCTTAACAGGTCTGACCCAACGACACCCTGGATACAAAGAGGTTCCTTTCCTATATGGAACTGCTCAGAGACACCTTTTAGCTTCAGTGATAATGCCTCATTTAGTTAGAGGAAATTCAGGTGCTTGAATTCTAACAGCCAGATTCAGACAGGAATTACTTCCTTTAATTAGGCTGCTTTAAGTTACTTTAAAGGCTACTGTCTACATTTGACCTTCAAACTGAACTTGAAAAGGGTCTACCAGTTGAATTCCCACTTTGAACCAAATTTCCAAGGGCACTCTCATTCAGACTTCATCTCCCTCCACTGAGATCTCCTGTACTCTGACCATTACTGATATACCTGCCATAGAGGAAGTGCAGTGAGCGTTCATCAGACTGATCCCTGGGGCCTTGGAGTTGACATCTGGAGTCAGATTGAGCAGGCCAGATTTGTATTCCCTGGAGTTTCGAAGAGCCAAGAGGCCGTCTCATAGGAACTTGCAAAATTCTTAGGGGGCTCAACATTGTAAATGCAGGAAGGATCAATCAGGACACACAATCTCACAATAAGAGGCAGACCATTTGGGATTGTGATGAGCAGGCACTTCTTCACTTAGAGGGTAGTTAATCTGTGGATTTCTCTACCGTAGAGGGCTGTGGAGGCTCAGCTGTTGAATATGTTCAGGACAGAGCTCAATAAATTTCTATATTTGAAGATAGCGAGATACGGGGGCAGTGTGGGAAAATGGCATTGATTGTGGTGGATTGATCATGATCTAGAACGGTGGAACAGGTTGAAGAAGCTGAGTGGATTATTCCTGCTCCTGTGCTCTTGTCACCTCTAAACGCGACTACTCCAGTGCACTGCTGGATGGTCCCCCACGTTATACCGTTGAGGTCATCCCAAGCCCTGCTTCCTGTGGCCTGACTTGCACTAAGTCCCATTCCCCTACCAGCTCTCTCCTCACCAGCTCAACATCGGCTCCTGGTTAAGCGCCTCTTTGATTTAAATATTCACACCCTTGTTTTTAAATGGCCTCACTCCTCTCTATCTCTGCAATCCTACAACTCTTCTGGTCTCTTGCACATCCTGGGTATGTATCACTTCATCATCACTAACTGTGGTTTCAACCAGCTTCACGTGCGCTATGTTTGGGAATTCCTTCCCAAACCTCTTCAACTCTCGACCTGTCTTTTTTTTAAATAAATCCCATAAACCTGCCTTTATACAAAAGATTTTGACCACCTGACCTTACAAGGCAAATTGTCGCACTTTTGTTTCATTGTGTTGTAGTGAAGTGGATTGTTTTGTTATTTTACAGGAGCTGTATAATTATGAGTTTGTTGCTGTAATTATTGGCCAGCTATTGAGGGATGTGCAGTGAAATTCAAATATTTGCTATTCTTATTTCTGTTTCTGCTTTTCCTTGTTCTCTTACAATTGACTATATTCACCAAGTTCTTCAGAACATTCACTTTGCTATTTATTCTTAACAGGTCTGACCCAACGACACCCTGGATACAAAGAGGTAAAAGGTTTCTGCTGCTCACAGACAGTGAGGTTGAGCCCCCTCACTGCCGCTGAGTTTTTAAATTGGTTCTTGCTTTATTGAGGGCTGACCTATGTTGTTTGTCTTGGGAGAAGACTGAGGGTTTGAGAGTCATGAATGGGATGGGCAGGTGAGGGAGAATGGAGAGGATAGTACAGGCCTTCCCCTGTATCCTGTCACTCCCATCCACAAATTGACTGAAACCCAACTCTTGGGGGGGCCTGGCTCCAGTGGGGTTTAGCTCCACCCCCTCAGTTCTGGCTCCACCCCTTCCATTGGCTCCTTCCCTTAGCTCCATCTCTCTTCTCTAGCCCCACATCCTCTTTGTCACAGTCATAGAATCCCGACAATGCACATGGAGACCATTTGGCCCATCAAGTCCGCCCTGATCCCCTGAAGAGCATCCCACCCAGACCCACTCTGCCACCCTATCCCTGTAACTCTGCACTAACCATGGCTAATCCACCCAGCCTGCACATCCCTAGCTCCACCTCCTCTTCCCTAGCTCCACCCTGTCCTCAGAACCACCCCACTCTTCCCTAGCTTCTTCTTCCCAGATTCTGACACCACCCCTGTGCCCTGACTCCACCCCAATGGTCTCTAACTCCCCTAGGACCTGACACACTCCACCCTCTTTGGGCTATTGTTCCTCTCTGCGCTCTCCGCTCCTCTCCATCAGGTCTCTGGTCCTGGCCTTTTCTTTATTGCAGCCCCTCCCCCACCTAGGGGGAAAAGCCCCATTACACTCTGGGTTTAGCTCCAACAACCTACTGTATTCCTTGGGTCTCTAGCTCTTCCCTTGCTGAAGAATGGTCAGTTGCCTGGGCAATAGCACCCCACCCCCGGCACCTTTTAGTTCCAGCTCTCCCTCCTTGGGAATAGCCCCTCCCTCTGATCTCTACCTCTTCACCGCTCCCCTCCCCAGCTTTAACTCCGCTCTGCTGGGTTCCTGTTCCAACCTTCCAGCTATTTCTAAGCAAAGTTCCGAACTCACGCGACAATCCCAGTTCTTTTCCTGACTCCATCCGTTTTGTCCATCTCTCTTTCTCACCTTGAAATGCACCCCCACCCCCACCACCGTCCCCACACGTGGCCAATTATCTATTATCTCGTCAGGATTTCGGTTACGCAGAATATCTCCTGAGATCTTGTCGGACATCGCCATTTTATTCATTCATCCTGACCAGCCAGCTGGCCTGGTAAATGATGGGCTTGATGCTTGGTCTGTTTTGTCATATTTTTGTCTCCTGACGAGAGAGAGAGAGAGAGAGAGCGAGCCTTGTTGTAACAAGTCATGGGACTGTAGCCCTGTGACCGTGCAGTGATGGGTTTAGTGTCTAGCTCTATGGGTTCTGTACAGTGAGGAAGATAATGTCCAAAAGAAAAGCCTGGAGAAGAATCTGCTGTTGCAGCTCAGGCTCTGAGCGCAGTCTGGGAAATGGAGGGGATGCTTCCTTTGAGGTAACTGCAGCCTGTTAGCTATCACCAAACACGGGTAAAGAGAAACACTGACAATGAGACATTGGTATTAACGCTTTTAAGGGGAAACCCTTTCGCAGCAGAAGCGAGTGGAGAGTTGTACTGATTGAGTGGGATGAGGAAGGTTGGAAAATAGGCTCAAGTGGATTTCCTCTGGGTACTCCCGGTTTCCTCCCACAGTCTAAAGATGTGCAGGTTAGGTGGATCGACCGTAATAAATTGCCTGTAGTGTTCAAGGATGTGTAGCTTAGGTAGGTTATAGGGGGATAGGTCTGAGTGGGATGCTTCAAGGGTCAGTGTGGACTTGTTGGGCCGAAGGGCCTGTTTCCACACTGTAGGGATTCTATGATAAGCCCTGCTATGGACGGATTGTGCCGAGTGGTCTCTTTCTGAGCTGCACGTTCTGTGCAATCTTACATAAAACACTCCTTGGTCTCTCCGCACGAGAACTGTGCATGACAAAGCCCATCCTTGGGTAGCATTGTGATGGGAACTCCAACCGTTCAAGGCAGGAAATGTCTGATGACAGGGAGGGAGCAGCAAATAGGAGCTGCAGTCGCTGGGAGACTGAGAATTAAGCGCAGTGTTCAAAATGGCCCCAATTATTGGTCTGCATTTGAAATCTTCAGATTGAACCACTATCATCTAATGCCTTGCTTGGGTTTTCGCCCTGTGTTATAAATAGATCTGTGGGTTTGGTGGACTTTCGGCTGTGTATATTTTGTGTTATTAACCCTGTGTGCAACAGTTGTTGAATGCCCACAGTGCGTGCATCAGGACGTCCTGGCAGACTGGGGACTGCTGTTCTCAAACTGCACCTGGACAGCAGGATGTTATGCGTGGTAAAGGGAAAGGTCCCAGCAGGGGTACTGTTTCTTAATGGCTTAATAATTGTGTGGTTCATTATCGCTGTTTTCAGCCCGGCCAACATGGAATCATGAGCTGGCAATGGACCTACTCACTGAATCGGAACTGGGGGGTAATCCCTTCCTTAACAACAGGCTCCGCCCATGTGAGGAGCTGGGGTAACCACACCACCTAACAACAGGCCCCACCCACATTAGGCACTGGGGTTACCCCCCCAACAAGCCCCTCCCATGTGAGGAGCTGCGGTAACCACATCCCCTAACAACAGGCCCCACCCACCCATCAGGTGCTGGGGTTATCCCCCACCAGCAAGCCCCTCCCATGTGAGGAGCTGGGGTAACCACATCCCCTAACAACAGGCCCCACCCACATCAGGTGCTGGGTCTATACCCCACCAGCAAGCCCCTCCCAGTTTGAGCTGGGGTAACCCTGTCCCTTACTGTAGGAGCTGGAAGAACCTTAATTATAACCACCACCCACCCCCCCCTGATATTATGGGAGCTTAGCTAGTCTTGACCTGTGTCTACCTGGATGATGCACTGAAGTCTCTGGAATGGGCCTTGAATCCACGACCTTCTTTCCCAGAGAGTGTGCTGCCCACTGAGCCGAGCTGCAAGGGGGCAGGAAGGGCGAGGGTGGTCGCTGGTGATCACGTGCCATTGACCGGGGAGGAGGCCTATGGGCTGTCTTGAGGCCGACGTTTGTCACAGCGATGTGCGGTTAACTCGGCATGTGTCCCCAGCACTGTCTCGATACGAACGCTGTTTTCTCTTTTTGCAGCTGACTGAGGTTGCTGAGTCGCCGAGAAGTCCGTTTGTCTGCGAGCCCCGTCTCTACCACACACTGCAGGCCCAAAAACCCAGCAGGCACAGGAACCGCAGCCACAGCATTCCGATAGGGTGCAAGAACTACACCCAGGGCCACCAATGGGTACGCTGCATCAACACTAATCTCCATACAACAGCCACTATCCTGTACAATAGGTCGCCTCCTCCCCAGATCCGCTAGTCCTTAAGATAACTCTTATTGTTACAGTGTTTCCCCCACCCGATCCGAAATCCGTAGCCCTCCCTGGACCTGTCTGTGGGTTGAACAGTGTCAGCTGTGGCTCAGTGGGTACCACTCTCGTCTCTGAGTCAGGATAGTTCTGGGTTCAAGTCCTGCTCCGGAGAATTGAGCACAAAAGTCAAGACTGCAGCACCAATGGAGCGCAGCGCTGTTGGAGGCGTCATCTTTCAGACAGCCTGTTAAATGGTGAACCCCCGGCTCCGTCTGCCTTCTCGGAATAGCTGAAGCATTGTCCCTGATGTCTTGGCCAACATTCATCCCTCGACCTACATCATTAGAGCAGATTATTTCGCTGTTAGCGGGGGCCTGCTGTGCGCCGATTGGCAGGTGTGCGTTTACGACTTTACAACAGTAACTGCACTTCAGGAAATACTTTATTGGTGATAGATTGGTCCTGAGGCCATGAAAGGTGCTGGCAAAATGTAAGCCTTTCGTCGAAAGAAAACTGTAATATTAGTTCTTATTTATTTCAGAGAAGCGGCCTACGATTTGGGACCGCAGCCTCCTATCTAAACCTGGAGAAACTAGGGGAAGGATCCTACTCCACTGTGTACAAGGGGATCAGCAGGTTAGTTGTGATGTTTTAAATCATCCTCCTTGTATCCATTCCACCTACCGCGGTCCAGTACAGGCTGCGTTCCCCAGCCTTCCAAACCTTCCTCCAACTCCCCACATCCCTCCAAGAGAAGGAATCAGTGTTTGAAGATGCACTTAAAACAAAAACGAAACAGATGTTAACCGTCCTCTCACTCTGCGCAGGATAAATGGCAACCTCGTTGCCTTGAAGGTGATTAAAATGCAAGAAGAAGAAGGTGTCCCTTTCACCGCAATCCGTGAGGGTAGGTATACAGTGAGGGTGTGTAATATATAGCATAATGCACTCCAGTCAAGCATGGTACAGAATAGGTGTGTAATTCAAAGCAGTGGGTACAGACTGAGAGTGAGTTACACTTACCATAATTATCTGCAGTAAGTGATTATACGATGTGAATGTTATATGTACCGTAATTCAAAGTGGTCAGGGTGGGAACAGTGATGAGGGTGAGTTACATATACTGTAATTAATTCCAGTGTGGGATTATGCAGAGTAAGAGTGCATTATCTGTACCGTAGTTCACAGGAGTGAGGGGTGGTACAGAGTGAGGGTGTGTTATATGTGCCGTAATGCACTCTAGTGAGGGGTAATACAGTTTGATGGTGTGTTAAAGGTACTGTAATTTACACCGGGGAGAGATGGCAGGGTGTGTTACATATACTGTGTGTCTTTGCAATGAGGGGTTGCTCAGAGTGAGGGTACGCAATATATATTCAATATAAATCATTGTGGTGTGTGGATACAGAATGAGGGTGTGTCATATATACTGTAATTTGTAGCAGAGGAGTTAGGGACAGACTGAAGGTGTGTATAATTCACTCCAGTGAGTAATGGTAGAGGTTGAGGATGTGTTTTGTATGTCATAATTTATTTCAGTGAATAATTATACAATGGGGCTGTGTTATGTATACCGTAATTCACAATAGAGTTAGAATAAGCGTGAGTACATTTACTGTACTTCACTGCAGTGAGGGTAGGTACAGAGTGAAGATATGTTAGAAATACCATAATTCATTGCAGCGAGAGATGGTATGGATTGAGGATATGTTATATATACTGTAATTCCCCCTACTGAGGTTGGGTACCCAGTTACAGAGTATTGTATATGCTATGCATCATTGCAATGGGGAATGAGTTGGAGTGAAGGTCTGAAATGATTATCATAAATCATGGCAGGCCCAGAGTGAGGAAATGTTATTCACTACAGTAGTGGGGATGGTACAAAGATGGAGTGCTCTCACATAGTTAATCAGTGCGGCGGGTGGATCAGTGTGAGTGAATGCAGGGAAACAGGGTGGACTTGCTGTTCTGCATGACCTTTTCTCTATTCCTGGGAAGAAAAAAAAGCCTCAACTCTGAATGCTTTTCCCCTTCTGTCTGCAGCCTCGCTACTGAAGGGTTTAAAACACTGCAATATTGTGCTTCTGCATGACATCATCCACACGCAGGAGACTCTGACCTTTGTCTTTGAGTATGTGGTGAGTTTACAGCAGCCAGAAGGGACAGGGTGAAGTGTGCGTGTGTGTAAAATCAAACAGAGCTGCTGTGTGGCGAATCAACAAACAAAGAGAAAGGGGAAAGCCATCTTTCTTGCACAGAGACTGGAAAGAGTGAACTGTGTAATGTAGTCATTAGTGAACAAGACTTAAAAAATTTATACAGAGCCTGTGGACAGGATTTGGAGCTTGATGCCCTGAGTTAAGAACTGGTATCGCAAGTTCTGATACAGTAAAACTACACATGGTATTTCACAGGGGTGTCGTGAGACAAAACGTTGACATCCAGCCACATAAGGAAATTGTCAGGACGGGTGTCCAAAAGCTGGCCCCGGCGTCCTGCGTTTTAAGAAGTGTCTCAAAAGGAGGAGAGGGAGATAAAAGAAAATTCCAGAACCCAGGCCCTCGGGACACGGCCGCCGATGGAGCAGGGGAGAAATAGACTCAGGGTTGTACAGGAGGCCAGGGTTCTGGGGAACGCAGAGGATTTCGGAGCCGTGAGATTTGATTTCCACTGAGGCAGGAGGTGGTGGGAACATGGCACCATCAAAGGGCGATTCACCCCTGGAGGCTGTTTGGTTGGATCATGGCTGATCTTTGCTTCAGCCCCAGTAGACACTGTGTGGTAGCCTGTGGTACAGTAACAGAACCACCACAGAATGACAGTTTGTGTCCAGACACAATAACGTGGAAAGCTCACAATAGACGGGGAGCGAAAGGTTCGTGAGAGGACGAGGCACAGATGCCATGATCCACAGGGCTGTGCCTGGGAGTGGGGGCCTGGGAGGGCAGGGAGGAGATGGCCCGCGATCAAGGTGCGGATCAGATTTCCCTTGGACGTGTTTTGCAAACAGACAAATGCGACTGAGGATCTCTTTCCTGGGGAGAAGTGAAGACGTACAGGACAGGGCAAAGCAGGGAGAGAGGATTTCTTTTTTGGTGCTTGTGGTCATGAGAGCTGCCGATATCCCAGAAGTAGTTGACGGTACGCCGAGACATTAAGGATCCCGAAATCAATTCAGCGGGGAGCAAGAGTCCAGTGGAGATAGGGGGCTGGTGGGATGGAGGGGACGGTGGGACGGAGAGTCCAGCGAGGGTCGGGGTATCAGCCCTAGGGTTTTTGAGCTGACACATGGGGGCAATGTCTTTGTGGGTGAGAGGATGCGTTCAGAGTGGTGGGGCAAGGGTGGGCTCATATCAGCACCAACATGTGTTTGAATGCGCTGAGGCATCTCTTATCAGAATGGGCAGCGGGAGGGAGTTGGGCACCAAAGCATGTTAATGGGATCCATAAGAAACCCAGCCCCTCTCAGGCCGACAGACCTGGAGCGGTTGGGCCGAATGGCCTGTTTCTGCATTATGGATGAAGAGGGGAAGAATTGGCCGGTTGGGCCTGTGCGCTTTTGAGTTTAGAAGAATACCAGGTAATCTTAGGCAACATATAAGATCCCGAGGGTACTTGGCAGAATGGATGTTGAAAGGAACTTTTCCCCCTTATGAGGGGAGACTAGAACTAAGGGACACAGTTTCAAAATAACAAGTCTCCTTATTATGACAAATGAAGAGATTAGTTTATGGAGCTCTGTCGCCCAGACAGCAGTGGAGGTGGTGGGGGTGTTATTCAATTTTTTTTTAAGGCAGAGGTAGATAAATTTGTGACTAACAAGGGAGTTAATGTTTTACAGTGTAGACAGGCAAGTGGACTGAGTCCCGATTTGATCAGCTGTGATATTAAGGCATGGCAGAACGGGCTTGAGAGAGCTGCCCATATGTTTGAATGTTTAAAGGAGAGAGGGAGGAGGGGCTGCTGAAATGAAGAGAAACTTGCCCTCAGAGAGGGTAAGATTGACAATAACAACAGGCAGCTGGACCAAGAAAGGGGAAGTATATTTGCAATACACATTAGTATCACACTGCTACTCAGCATTGCTTACAGCTCATTCCAGTGTCTTCCTCCCCCTAGCAAACTGACCTCGCACAGTACATGACCCAGCACCCAGGAGGCCTGCACACGCACAATGTCAAGGTAAGATGTAGTTCCAGGTGCAGAGTTTCCCTGCTCCCATTGACAACGCTGGCACCAGTGAGCGAAGGTGAAGACGTGATCCACCATTCTACAATGAGTCCCGAGTTGAACCTGTAAAATACAGGATTAACCCGACGATGGTGCGTCTTAACTGCACCTCTTACCGTTTGTTCCATTCACCCTCCAAACGTCACTGCCCCTTCCCTGAAGGTGCTGTCAGTTTACTAGGGGGAGTCTCCATTGCTACTTGATCGCCCCATGGTTCTCCTGGTGGTGGTCACACGTTGGCATCATCAGCCTACACTTCTCCCAAGGCCTACGTATCCTTCTTCCAAACATATTCCATGGACATCAGTTTCCTCTGACTGATTCTGTGTCAGTAAACCATTTTTTTTGGGATCCTCTTTCCCCACGTGAGTGTTGTTTTATTTTCAGCTGC